CGTGGTAGGTGAGCTGGAAGTCATCGTCCATGGAGATGTAAGGGGCCAACATTTCCAGATCCATTTCATCCATGTTCTGAAAAAAGGCAGGAAAGTCCAGTCATTTTTTGTAATAGGACTTTACAACTGCAGGTTATGATCATATAGAGAAAGGTAATGAAACACATTTACATATCTTTTTCCAAATCTCTGTACTGAACATGAAAGAAATCTATTTTCTCTGTAAGGCTTCAATTGTCTGTTGTCTTCACCCACCTCCAGCATGTTTCCTTCCTGTTGCTCATCTGTTGGACAAATGGCAAAATGCTTCTCCACCTCACTTGGTAACATCTCCACCTCACCGGAGCTCTGATTGATCAGCACAGTCACCAAATCAATCAACAGACCAAGCTCTGGTAGGTGATGCTTTACTTTTCAGTTTAACAGAAGGCGATTGTCATATTTACCAGAGCAGAATTGTCTGCTGGGGCCGGTGAGGTGGACGGGGGCGGGGTCAGGGGGTCAAAGATGGGTGTGAGGAGTTGCAGCAGCTGTGGGGTGCAGAGTTTCTCAGGGTGGTCGGGCACCGAGGTCAGAGTAGGTGAACTGATGAACGACAGCTCCACAAATCCTAATGCAGACAAACACGCAAACACACGCAAATTAAAAACCATAAAATCATAATTGATGGAAACAGTGACATTCAACAACAGTCTGTCTGTCCGTGTCTCTCACCTGCTGTTCTCCTGTCGGTGTCGTTGTTCTCAGAGGCCAACTGAACCTCATCTGGCTTCTCTGGCTTGTTCAGGAGCTCTGCAGCGTTGCTGGGATTTGAACCGGCATCCTCAGTCTGGGCGGAGCTGCTCAGAGGCTCCTCTTCAGGATCAGAGATCTCAAAGGCCTCTGCTGCAGGTGCTGGTGAGAGAGGTTCATCCTTGAGCACCGCGCCACATCTGATCTGCTCCACTGAGAAAACAGTGTCTGGCTGCTCGATGGCACTGCAGAAAAATGGGAAAAAAGAAATTAAATAAAAATAATAGAGTTATATATTTTTATTCAAGTTTTATTTAAATTTGAGTACCAAATAAGGTACCAACTTAAAACTGATTCAAACTCTTCAAACGGCCTTTTTGGCTAGCTAAGATTGTACTGACAGTTAAGATTACCAGAGATTTCCAATTTACGTGACCCATCAAGTAAAGGTTCAAACGTGTAATTTTCAATCTCAAATCTCAATTTTAAATAGTTTTCAGATTCTGAGTCACACAGAAAGTTTGCAAAATGATAAATACTCTATTCATAAAATCAGCCTAAAACTTTCCAAATTTTCCAGATCGTTCCTGTTGTTAGGATTGACTATGAAAGTACCTGAGTATGAAGTTGAGGCAGACGACGGCCTCTGGCTGCGACGTCTTGTTGCTGTAGAGGACGGTGGCCTGCGTTTCAGCCCAGACGAAACCGCCATTGTTGGTCAGGAATCTGTACTGGCTGGTGATCACCTGACCTTTCGTCAGCACTGCAGACATGAAAAAAAAAACAAACAAAAAAAAACAACAACTTATACAAATATATGAGAACATTGTTTTTCGTAAAATAATTACCAATATTTATAGCCAGTGCTTTTATTTGTTCAGTGTGTGCTTGTGTAGACAAACACACTCACATGTGTGCAGGCTTTTGTTGACATGGTCAGAGTCGAGCGCATGATGAAATTCATAGGCCGAGCGTCCAATCAGATCATCCGGTTTGTATCCTACTAACTCTGAAACCCTGGAGACAAACAGACAGATATGACTCCTCATGTCTTTGTCCGCTACTCATGTCCAAATGAGACAAAGTTTAAGGTCAGGGCGTCCATCCTACCTGCCCTCACAGTGGGTGAAGCGCAGGTCCATACTGTGGCGGGTGAGGATGGTGCACGTATCCAGAGGAAACTCCACGCTGGACGGATGAGGAATGGGCTCACACAGCACAGTCATCACTCTGGCTGCAGGAGGCGCTGTGGAGCTGCCACCAAAGGGACGCATGTGACCAGTGCAGTGAAGAACCTATAGAGAGGAGGAGACGTCAGGATAATCAGAAGAAAATTTAAAAAAATGATTTAAAAAATAAAGAAGTGAAATGTAAAATGAAGCTTGTCAAACGCTTAATATTTGTATTATTGAAATTGTAATATTTTAGTAAAAAGTTGTCAAACCTTCCATGTAGCAGACTTGATGTTGACCGTGCGCCCCCTGCTGGTCAATGTGCTTTTCATTCGCAGGAAAAAGTTCCTGTCAGTTGGTTGCTCTTTGGCTGATTTCTTACTTAATCCTGAAAATTGCACACACACAAAAAAAAAAAAAAAAAAAACAAACAAAAAAACAAAACAAAAACATAATCATCAGTCAGAAGCTGAATTTTTTTTTCTCTTTTTTCTTGTCAAACTATCATTCAAATGTGTTTAATTTTATGATAATAATAATTGGATATAATTTAGGACAAAGGTCTGCAGACCAAAAGTGTTGGGACAGTGAGACCCACCTGGACGTGGAGCCAGCAGATCTCTGAGCTCCTCCTGGTCACAGGGATGGACAAACTCATACACACTCTGACCCAGCAGCTCCAACTGTAAACACAACACAGACACACACATGATGACACACATGATGACACACAAATGAAAGCACAATTTAGTAAAATAAAAAATTACAAACAAAACAAAATATCTGTGTCAATCTTAAATGTACCGTAATTTAAATAATGGATTTCAATTCCAACTAATCTTAAACCAAGTCACTGGTCACACTGGCACGTTTCTGCCACAGCCTCATCCAACAGTACCAGAACATTTCTCTCTCTGCTCTGGTCCCTGCACATATTTAAATATAACACAGGGTTGTAATGAGGAACCTCATCTCCAAACACAGCCAAAAATAGATTGAAGAAACAGCTCCTCCTCCTGCTGCTCACCCAGAATAGCAACAGTACACAGTACATGGAGTACACTATACACAAGTCACCAGGATCACACACTGACATGGTATTGGACTGTTCTTCACTGTGACTTTTCACTAGGTTTGTGCAGAGCCCTGATAATGAAAGGGTGTTTAATGTCATTCCACTTTATTTATGTAAATGTTGCCATAATTCCTCAGATGTGTTAATCTAAACTCATTTCACCACATGGCCTGTTGGGGTGCTCTAGAGTCCAATAAATCCATAAACTCACTAGTTTTCTCTGATGACATCATATAAACTGATTTTTTTTTTCTTCACAAATGTTCATAAAGTGTTGGAAAATTCTTTCTTATAATAAATTCTAGTTTTTAGTATAACAGCAGGTCGGGTCAACTTCTGTCACGGTTGTTACAGTAATGTTACAGGAGCTCGTTTGCCAAGTTAAACTGCGGTGGTGACTCTTTATCACAGCTGTCATTTCACACATTAACTAACACAGGAATGACTAAAGGCTACAGCTGTGATCACAGTGAGACGTTTAGTTCTGTATGAAGACAAAGAGGTGATTTGATGTGTGTGTGTATGGTCCTGCTCTGCTGCACCTGAGTGACGCCGATGTGTTTGTTGACATTTTCTGTCAGGAAGATCATGTCTCCTTCTTCTGTCAGCACCATGACGAAACCGGCCAGCGCCTGTGGATAGAACACATCCATCTCATCCTCCTCTTCCTCATCCTCCTCTTCCTCCTGCTGCTGCTGCTGCTCTTGCTTCATATCATCCTCAGCCGACTCCTTTTTGGTTTCACCTGCTGTTAAAAATGATCACGAAAAATGATCACACAGGGCAGACATGATAATACCTTTTATTATGAATGACCTATTTTTTATTTATTTTTTTCAAGTTTCTTACACTTCTCACCAGATCTCAGAAGGCGCTGCATACGCAGGACGCTGAGAGCGATCCTCATGATGGCAGCTTTGTCCAAATGGGTGGACACCCTGCGAGGGAGCGGAAGTGTGCGAGCGAGCTCATAAAACACTTCCGTCTCTTGGCTTCGCCTGCATCTGGCTGCATCACGAGAACGCAGCTTCCTCTGCTCCGAACTGCTTCTAAAGACAAAACAAAAAGAAACACGTGGTAAAAAGAAGACCAAAAACAGAGTAAACACTGTACTGAAGGAAGAAGAGGAACAACAACTGCACACTGATCTCTGAACTGGCAAGAACGTGTTTTGGTGCTAACAATTAAGATTGAAACAGAATATTAGCCCCAAACAGAGAGGGTATCCTTCTCATTCTTGTTTGACCACAGCGTAAAAAAGCTGAACTGGTCCGACCAGGTTAGGTACCCGTAGTACCAGCATCACAATCTATTTTAGAGGTGATTTGTTTAAAACTGTAAACCTGAGACACTCTCTTTTTTCAGCACAACATTTTATATATTTATTTATTTATTTAAACCAGAATCCTAACAAATAAACAGGCAATGTGGGGCAGTTGTGGCTTGGTGGTTAAGAAAGCGGACTTGGGGTCCAGAAGGGTTCGAGTCCAAGTTACCACTGAGGGGCACTGATCATGGCACCGTCCCCACCCACTGCTCCCCCTGCTCACTGTGGTGATGGGTTAAAAGCAGAAGTCACATTTCGTTGTGTGCAGTGGTGTGCTGTGTCACAATGACAAATAATAATTCACTTTGACTTTCAATACTTTTTGTAGACCATTTAAACTAATGAGACACAGCTGATGTTGCTTTGTCACACACAGAACATACAGTACTCATACCTGTGTTCTGATGGGAACTCAGAGTACACAACAAAGAGTATCTGAGATGAGCCAAGAAACAAACGCCACTCCTCCTCACACCAACGTCCTGTGTCACATTAACAACAAGTCTTCTTTTCCCCTGATTGTGATCGTGTTTCACTACGTGTTCTCTTTTCTTCAGCTGAGCACAAACTGTTCTCAGTGTTCATTCATAACCGTTTCCTTTAGTGTAGCTGTTATTTTTGAAGAGTGATGACGTCACACTGCCACTACAGCTGCTTGTAATGTTCATTTGATCTGTGCATGATCATAGGAACAACCATAATAGATGTTTCTCTGTCAAACACTAAAAAGGTTGAAACATTAAGGCCTGAAATGTTTGTGCTGAAAACATTTAAGCTGGTGGGATTTCTCAAAGTCCAAACCTCCAAAACCTCAGCCTGACATGCGTGTGTCCACCTCGGTGATCAGTGATTCTCAACCACTGTGCCGTGGCACACTCGTGTGCCGTGAGAGATCATTAGGTGTGCTGTGGAAAATGATCCAATTTCACTTCACTGGGCTGAAAACTATTATTTATTTATTGTATATCATTTTTCTTTAAAGATCTTTATGAGTATCTTTCTTCAATTCCTGCCAGTATTTTAGCGTTGTCTTCAACTAATCAGGCCGAGATTTTGGTAAATTATGAGGTCATTTAAACCAGAAGATTATTATATTTCATTACATATACTTTTTGTGAGATTGTTGGCTCAAACAAGTTTGGGAAACACTGCTCTAAGTGACCCCTGGGAGCTCAGCTAAGAGGATTCTTTTTGGCATAGTAGGAGACTGACTGAGCACAAGAATGTCATGAGAGGATTCTTTTTAATTCTATTTCTTTTTGGCATAGTGGGAGACTGAGCACAAGAATGTCATAAACTGAAAGGAACAGAATGTCTCTGGGAAAAAGTCCAGATCTTCCCTCCCTCCCTCACTCTCTTCTGTGCTCCTTTCTACGCCCTCTCTCCTCCTACACTTCCATGCCACCAAGCACAGTTGTGGCGTAAACTTGCTGACAAGACAACAACGCAGCTTTGTTCTGATTCAGTGTTCTTTCTAATAGTGTTTATTACCAAAAGCAGTCTGAACTAAACAAAACCCCTTCATCCCTCTGATCTGTTTAACTACAGACATATGCTGCACTCATCTGCAGGTCATCAAGGACCACAACAGAGGGGAGGAGTTTAGATATGAGTGCGCAGAGGTCACACAGGCTGACTCAGCAAACTGCAAGAACAAAAGCACTACCAATAAATGATTAAACAACTCCAAGTTATAACCCAAGGTTACAGTAGATTATCCTGTATGTCATGTCAGGTAGCACATGTCCAATATAAAGATCATTTCTTTTTAGTTCCTTCACTCATTCATTACATAGGTGCACTGTACATCCCATGTTGACCCTAATGAAGTAAGGTCAAAACCATGAGAACGTGATCATGAGTTATGATCACGGTCACTGTAAAGATGTGACACACCCTCAGGGATTGGTCTAATCCTGTACCTGGACCTGGATTAACTGTACTAACGATATGTCAAACTGTGGAAATGAATAAGTCAGGCTTGTTTTGATAGATGGAATGGATACGGATTGTTCTGATGATAATCCCGGTGAGCCGTATGACTGCGGGTCACTTGGCAGAGATTCCAGTGCTGTTTCCACAAGTCAGAGAGAGCAGAGTCAGAGAGAAATTATATATTATATGTATATACCATATTTCCAGACTACAAGTCGCACTTTTTTTCATCCTTTTTTTAGGTTTGCGACATATACTCAGGTGCGCCTTATATATTAAAATATATAATTTCGCATGTTCATTATTTTCACACTGACAGCTGTACTCTAGGCTTGTGTACCAGTTTCTGCTTCTCCTGTACCACTGAAAATTTACAGGTTCGTTATTTTCACACTGACAGTCGCTACAGTCACTTTTTACACAATTTTTCACATTTTTACACGTTGACAAATTTCATTCTGCTGCATTGTTTTTTTTTTACCAGATGTCAAAAAGTGATATTTTGAAAAAAAGGTAACTGAATATTTCAGTTCTTTTCTGTTTTCATCCATGTATCCAGGTTTTTATTTGAATTCTCATGATGATGTAAGGATTCAGGACAGCTGTTATCAACTCGTTCTGGTGGCAGGTGGGTTCGTACCCTCATATCATGGCTGAATATTTTGGTTTCCTTTCAGTACAGTTAAGGAAATGTGGTCATGGTTTCGTCCTTTAGTTTCAGACCAAGTTCCCAGCTGGAGGATCATTAACATCCAACTGCCATGGGGCACAGCCAAGACTCTGGGTGAGTTGAGAGACGTGGGTGACAGTCTCAACGCAGCAATACTGAAGAAGAAGAAGAACACTGTGTTCTAGTACTACTGCCAATAACAGTGGGATTACCGCATCTATCTAACTGGTTAGAAAATATGTACTGTAAATACTATGAATGCCTGCATAGCTATTAATAATATCTGAATGTTGTACAAACTAGTTAGTCTGCCAGCTGGGAGGAACCGTGGAAAACAGAGCAGCGCTGTACAACAGTGGGTTCTCGAGAGTGTCACCGTTTGCAGAAGGCAATAGGAAGTCCGACTGTACACCGCAACCCCAGAGTACAGAGTGTGCACGCGTGTGTGTTTATTTATGTGTTGCTGGAAACAACCGGCGGTTAAGTTGTTTATGAGCAGACACCGCATTAGAAAGACGAGGACACACACACGCACACACACAGAAGCCAATGGCAGTTCGTCAGACACAGACACGCCTTCTGTTCCACCAAACACACACATTGTGATCACTGAAATTAAACGTGTGTGCAGAGTGCACAAAATAGGAAACCCAACCCCACGTGCTTAGCATCAGAGAACACAATGTCCTCAGCTGCGTTCTCACTCGAGAGAAACGCCGTAGAAGAGATGTAAGGGTTCACTGTCTCACGAGGAAGAAAAAAAAACAAAAACAAAAAACAACGAACAAACAATGAAAACTCAACCTTGAAGGGAGCTAGAGAGCGAAGGAAGGAAAAATTTGAAGAAGTCTGATACCCCGTGCAAAACGCACACTTGCATTTCCCGCCATTAATACAGGCACTCAAATACAGAAATAGAAATGAGCGGTTTCATATTCCTCCTGGCGCAGGTTCCTGCATTTGGAATAACAAACTAGGTTCTGCTTCTGTATTGTTTGGCTTAGAACACGACGTCTGCCAAAATTCAGTGTTTCACAATAGGAACGTTTTTTCTCTTTTTTGTCAACGCAGCCTAATGGTGTAGTGTTGTGTCTGTGCACGTGCAGACAGACAAACAGAGGCAACCTCTGGCCTCCAGTGTTGAAATTACAACAACTGTTGATGCACAGTTTGACAGCAATTGTGCAAAGGAAAAAAATATGTAAGATTGAGGAAAGAATTAACAGCAGTCAATGTCCTGTATGTTCACAGGCTGGAATGATCGGTGCTGTGCTCCCTGTATATTCTGACCACAGCTTTTAACACTGAGCATCAGTTCTCACGCAATTCCACCACTTGTACAGGCTTCAGACCGATACTATGTAAACAAACTGTAGCTTCCTGTGGATGGGTAAGATGAGGACATCGGGATACAGACCGCCAGTCTGGCATTAAACCCCTTCACCCTTCAGTTCAGAGGAAAAAAACCAAAAATTCCACATAAGAACATTTAAGATTTAATAACTGATGTTGTTTTTGGTTTTATTGACAAACAAGTAAGTGATTTATGTAGTACAAAAAAAGCCCCTAACACCAAAAAGGTAGTATTCTGTAGGACATACATATTAACCTGAACTCACAGGTTAACTTTGATACACTGCACAACATCCAGAATTTAGTTGTCACACAATATGTGCTACTGACATTAACACTAATAACAACTCCTATTCTATTCTACCTCTAACAGTGACAGTCTCAGAAAAGCTCAGAAAAGTCTTTCAAAGGAACATAATCCAGAAATGGAATTATTCAAAGAGACTTTCCCCTTTGCTCTATGGCCCATGTCCAACAGATGATACATGGCTGATGGTGATGATACAAGGCTGATGTTTGTTCTTTTTTGTACTGTGACGTCTCTCTGAGATCACGATGTGCACGAACACCAGAAAAACACCTGTCACCCATCACTCACGGTGCCACACCTGACTTTCAGTCAGCAATGGATAAACAGCCGGCCAACGAAGCTCGAAGCATGTTGGTGGACTGCAGGATGTCACTTAAGCCATTAAAAGGGAATATATATACTGTATATATATATATATATATATGTGTGTGTGTATATATATATATATATATATATATGAGTGCCACACATCATTTTCTTCAGTCTTTTACTATTACAGAGAGAGATTACTGTAACAGCCTGTGTTACTGGTAACACATATGTTTACTGTGTATAAATGGGACACAAACATACCCCAACACACTTTGCAAGTTTCATGCTGTCTATGCTTTCTTTTTTTAACCAGCTTAATAACCAGCTGCAGATAAGTGTGTCATAGGGTTAGGGTTAAGTACTGCACTGTAAACGTAGTTCTCTGAACAATCACGGTTTTTATTGTTGCTTGTTAAAAATGTGTCCGCCCTCTTCCTCTTTTAACCTGATTTAGCCTTGTGATGTTGACACACTATGTCCTCACTGACAGCTGCACAGTGAGATTAAATGATTGTGTGTCTCTAATAAAACAAACACTGTTTAAAGACTGGACCTGCACCTCAGAGTCACTGATGCAGAACAGGTTGGAGTGAGATGTAGAGCAAAACATTAACACACATTTACAAGCTGCACTCTAATGTGACATAGGAATGTTAAAGATTAACACTGCTGTGCATGGCCCTCATTTACTCTCACTGACTTTACTGCCTCCACAAAAGAAGTTGTGTTCCAAGACAGCACATTTAAAAAGTTATTTGGCAGAAAGTACTAAATATATATATACATGTGTGTGTGTATATATAAATATATATATATACACACACACACACACACACACATATATATATATACTGTATATGGGATGTATTTGTATTTGGATGCTTTTTGCATGTACTTCCTCCGAGTATTTTGCAGGAAGTACATGCATAGGATATATATTACATATACATACATACATACATATGTATACATATATACACGTGTGTGTATATAAACAGACTGTGGGGGTAGCATGATATGTATTACAGTAAACAAGCGACCAGTATATCCCAGTACATAAGTGTTGAAAAAATATCAAAACGTAAGTGCACAAATACATGCGTTGTGTATGACAATCTATTGTGATGTACGCGTTAAGATCACATTAAATTACAACAGTTATATATAACCACATAAAACAGTTAGTCTTGGCAGACTGGTTGGAGGAGATCTTTCCGTTTGCAATACATCACAAAGAGATATCTTGATATTTTACTATTATCATTTTAAAAGACACAGACTGTGGGGGTAGCGCCGAATAACAACAGCAATGACAATAACTGCGTCATGTTTGCAAAGCGTGGTGTGCACTTGTTAACATATACCATGAATCATTTAAGACCAAGTCTAAGTAAAATGTGTTTGCCTTTTTACGTGTCTTTCCCTCTCAGTCTCTCTGTCTGTCTGCAGCACTCACTGCTACTCGCTGTTTTACATCACACTGTTTTGTTCATCGCTCCCTGCGACTCGTCGTGGAAAAGTTGCACATGCAAAAATATACACTACGCCTCACGGAATACACACATTTTTCAAAACAAACAATGTTAGTATTGGTGAAATACGGACTTACCGTTTAACCACGGTGCTCTCTTCTATTGTCTCCATGTCTCAACATAAAACCTTCAGCTTTTGTTGTTGTTTACTCCAACATAACGGCAATATATGCGCCAACCTCCGAAGCCAACTCAACACTTTGACGTAAGCTCGCTGCTTCCGCTATATTTGTTTCAAAATAAACGTCAGTTTGATAACTACAGTCGCTGACAGTACTTTAGAGAAAGTGTTCACTATTTGTCATCGTTAAAGAAATAGTTTACATTTGAAGTTTGAAAAAAAAATCATTTTTTATTATCACAATGCTGCCGTCTGCCAAAAATATGCATTTATTCTGGTATCTCATGTAACATCCTGAATGTGAAACGCGGATACAAGACATGCCCCCAGTCACGTCGGCAATCTCCGACTGTATCCGGTTTGACGTATTCATCCTTCGTGTTTCATCGGCCATTTCCTTACTCTGCGGAACAAAAGTATATTCAAATTGAATAAGTGAGTGCAAAGCGCCACCTGTCGATCACTCATAGAGGAGACTTGAACTTGGACGAACTGAAAAAACATCTAATGAACGTCAAGATTTAATAAATACACTGAATTATATCGGGTTTTCACACACAGACATAAAAAGAGAACTGAAAACGACTGATAGACGAGATATTTGGATCAAGAAGAATAATTAGTCTATTGTTGTTAAATGTAACGCACAAAAATCTATCCACGAATGAAAATAAACAGTAGAAATGTTAGCTAAATTAGTTAGCAGCTGTTTTGACTGTCACCAGAAGAAAGTTGTGTTACATAGTATTTCAACTGATACTGATGCAATACATGTATTCACAAAAAACAAAACAAAACATCATGTATATCCATGACTATTCCACTAATAATAATAATCAGTGAATATCACTCCTTTGAACATCATTCAAACACAATACTTTTTGATTAAATCAAGGTTTTGAATAAAGCACTGATTATAATTAAAATACAACAAGAATGAAGAACATTCATTTGTGAGAAGGTAGATATAAGAGACGTCATACTGTAACTCTACCGGTGTGAGTAGATCCAGGATTTCTCTTGATTTCTCTTCTATTGATGGATGATGGAGCATTAGTTCTATACCAAAAACCTGTGAGCCTATTTGAGATGCCTCAGTAGACATGCTGTTGCCATGACAACAGAGATGAGCATATGGGCTCCAACAATGACCTCAAACTGGGGGAAGAGGAAACTAATGTTTCGTCTGTTGCTTCAAGGGCACAACCCTGAATCCTGCAGTGCTGGAAGTTTTACTGCTATTTATAGAATATATTGTGGGATCGATACACACACGCACACACACACGGCTATAATTACTAATATTTTGCTCTGACTCTTGTCAGTGAGAAGTACTGGAGGTACAATCCTTACATTCAGTAATCACGACAAGAAAAAGTTCATACCAGACCATTTATAATTCACATAAACTGTTACCTGCAAACCCCTTAACTATGATACTCTCAGCAATTTTTGTTTCTTCATACGTTTGTATTTGCTCTGCTCTTCAAATGAAACCAACTTGAATTAAACTGCCTGCTACAAACAGCTGCTGCTGACTAAACCAAACCGTGTTAGATTACACCCGTTACTGCTGACCAGCTGAAGCTGAGAAAATGCTTTGGTCCACAAAAACTATAAAAAAAAAAAAAAAAAAAAAACTAGCTGATGCAACGAAGCATCAGGCTGGTTTAAAAATGTGTTGAACATACAATTAAAGATTGTTGAACTGAAGGGTGAACGCAGAGCCAAAAAGTATTGGCTAGTTACTGCTCAACACAGCAATCAGAGCTTTTATTATTTTTATTACTATTAGTATATATTATTTTTACTTTATCATCGGTAGGTTTTGTTTTATGACATTAACTTAAGCAGGTGTTGCAACAAAAATGTAAAAACTATAAAAAGTTATATTATTAGAATTATTATGTTATAGTTACTGCGGTTGATTTAATTTATAAAAATATATTCTATCTACATCACTGCTTTGTTATTGTTTTGTTCTTGTTGAATTTAACTGTGCAGATCAAGAACTGCACCAGCAGCTGCTGACACTCTACTGTATGGACTCTGTCCTGTTCCTTATTGTAATTGAAGCAGCGAAATAGAAAAACACCCAAGGAGAGACAAAAACTGATATCTACTGGACACAATCACGTCACCGTGACTTTGCTGAAACTACAGCTCCTGTGTTTTTCCCTCAAACGTAAACAAGACACCACACCAGGAGGATCTGTTTGACCGTCAACAGCAGGGGCAAAGTCAAAGCCAACACATAATGAGGAGCCAGTTGAACTAAAAGGAGAACCTTCTCTCATCTATGTGGGAAGTGTAGGAGGAAAAGCACAGAGGTCAAAGGTTAATGTAAAGAGCATTATCAATGAGACAAAGAGAGCATTAAACCAGCATTAAGGAGCCAGGAAAAGTGATGACTGAAAACACTGCATTTCCATGTCATCAGGGAGACATTTTTATTTATTATTTTCACTGAAAGTCATGACACAGCCTTTGACACTGGCGCGGTAATGATGGAAAACCAAAAAACCTGCTTGTATTTGCATCACATCTGAGCTCTCCGTGCCTAATACAGAGTGTTGACTACAAACCGCATTTAAAAAATGATCCGGTAAAATACTGAAGCAGTGAACATTTTAACTTAAATACAAAGTAAACAAATACATTGAAAAAATAAGTGTAACAGCCTCTGGGGGGGGGGGGGGGGGGGTTGTGGGGTTTTTTTTTTTGTTAACCTGCTTGTATTTGCATCACATCTGAGCTCTCCGTGCCTAATACAGAGTGTTGACTACAAACCGCATTTAAAAAATGATCCGGTAAAATACTGAAGCAGTGAACATTTTAACTTAAATACAAAGTAAACAAATACATCGAAAAAATAAGTGTAACAGCCTCTGGGGGGGCGGGGGGGGGGGTGATCTGTGGGTTTATTTATTGTATGTGCAAATTCTTGCAAGAGGCAATTCAGGTGCAACAGGAATGAAGTCCAAAACCTTTGGAAACTGCATATTATGCTACACCATGAAGGTATTTTGTGTGTGTGTGTGAATGTAAAGAAGTAATTTTAGGCTTGGAATGTGCAAGAGTACAGTATGTTTATGTTTATGAGCCAGTTTATCTAATCTTAGTAGAGATTTTTGTATTGTTACTGCATAATGTTAAGCAGAATTAGTCATGACGTGGACTCAGGGCTGAGGTGTGCAGCCGACTGTTGCTCTATGTGCTCAACTTAAGTCTCTTTCTACAAAGTCACACTGGATCCAGAAAGCTCACATTCAGGGACAAACAGGAAACTCTATCACACAAAATAAAAACACATTGACATTGTCAAGTTCCCTAAAACAGCAGACATTCAACTTTTAGCTGTGGTTCTTATGTACAATAGAAGGATATTTATATATTAATATTCTTCATCTTTCCTGCCCTTTTTTCCTCACCTCCTGCTGCACAGTCATTATTTACATACACACGTGTCCTTCTTGTATTTATAGAGCATTTTCAGTATTTACAGTATAAATTACTACACAGTCCTGTGATAAAATAAATACCTAAATACAACGGTCTTGGCTTCGGCAGGTTCTTTTGCACGAATGAGAACTTAGGGAGATGAAGGCCGTTCACTCGCTCTCATTGCTTCCAGGTAACACACGTACGATGACAGTCAACAAGGAGTGACGTGAGGGCTGACAGCAGAAGCAAAGAGAATACGCTTTACTCTCACAGTGGCATGAGCTGAAAGAACACTTTCCGATACTTTCCCATTTTTAATACATTTCTAATTAAAGTAAATAAATAACAACTGTACGAAAGATAAAATGTTTTATCCCATTTTTAATAAATTTCTAATTAAAGTAAATAAATAACAAATTAGCTTAAACATATAAATGAATAATGTTTAAAATATCCAGTTAATAAATTAACAAAATCTGGCTGCTAATTTGGACCTTTAAAAAGAAGGACATGAAAACTTAACATATTGTAAAAAAAAAATTGACAAAACATTAATTTTGTAAAGTGGACTACTAATAAAGTTAAAATATATATTTTAAAAAGCGACCAAAAAAGGTTGTATTTTCAGATGGAAACTCTTTGAATTGGAGATCAACATAGCATTGATTTTTTTAACCAGGTTGTTGGTTTACTTGGGAAAGTGTTCAATGTCAGGTGTTTCCATAGTAATAAAGTGAAGTCATGTTGGAGCAGTTTAGAGCCAAAGCCATCATCCTTGCTGCAGTGATGTTCTACTCTAGTGTTCTATTAGTGTTCTAAGTTTCATGTGATCTGAACAGCCACAAACTTTAGCCATTCACTGCAACAAAATCACAATTATTAGGTTTATGTAGCAAGAGCCCGGATAGCTCAGTCGGTAGAGCATCAGACTTTTAATCTGAGGGTCCAGGGTTCAAGTCCCTGTTCGGGCGATACTATTTGTTTAAATAATTTCCCTAGTGTGGGATCAATAGAATTCAACCTTGACCTTAGTCAGCAAGCTTCCGTTTTTTTAAGCTAATTAGGTTCATCAAATTTTAAGTGTAATTATATAACCGTCAGTGTGACCACTACAATAGTAACTATTAGGGATGTCTGATAATATCGACTGACCGATATCGTTGGACCGACATTGGCATATTATGTAATATTGTTATTGTTTTTTCCTCTGATAATGAAAACCCGATAACGTAATGCCTGGGTTTGGCCAAATGAGGCGTGGCCTAAAAATAGTTTGGGTGATAAACGGCTGTATATTAAAGTGAAAGCCACTAGATGGCAGCATTGCAGCTCATTTAATTAATCTCATAGTTATACAGTGGTTTGTATGGATAAATAAGTAAATATTACCAGGCCTATATTGTAATTGGTTGATATCGGAATTGGAAATTAAGTGTTTGGACAATATCGGCAAAAAGCTAATATCAGACATCCCTAGTAACTATTGTATTTTTGCTTCCGGTTGGTTTTCTGACAAGTCAAGGCCACCGTGAGAGTAAAGTTGACAGGGGGAACATGTTTTTGATCAGAGCAAGCACACTGAGTCGTAGTGTATAATACTGCAGTTGAGTAGTGGGCACAGACTGATAATGTAGAAGATGAGCCGAGAGAAGACGACAGGAACGATGGAGGACATGGAGGAACGAACCAGTGCAAACTTCTCCTCCAGCTATACCACCGTGCCGCTCGGAGAGTTCCCATTCTGTGCTGTCAAGTTCTAAACAAAATATACAGAGAATTAAAATCAAAGGAAACCGAAAGAAGAAATATTCTAAAACTCTAAAAAGAGAATATAGAAACGTACAAAGGGCAATTTTTTTTACTATGTAAAAGTGTGGAGTTGAAGATAAATTCAATATGCAGACAGACCAATCTGTTCATTGATGCTTGTCACATGACCACAGATCATTATAAACATGAAGGACATACCGTCTTCCCTGGCCGTGCCCAGGTGCAGATGAGACCCTCTTGGCAGGCTGTGATGATGCAGTCGTCCATGAAGACCAGGACCGTCAGCCTCTCATGTGCGATCTTCTTGCACACCAGCGGCTCTAGCAGCGGCACCTCGTTCATGCGTGGGCACAGTGTGGTGCCCAGAACCTTAGCAGCGTCCAGGCGATTGCTTCGCGGCGCCACGTTGATCTTGTCATTGCTTTTGCTAATGTTGCCCAGGCTGTGGTACCTCTTATGCTCCTTCTCCACCCCACTGCTGCCGCCAGACTTGTCCGACTTGCGCTCCTGGAGCGACAGCGTGGCAAAGCGGCCTATACTGAATGGAGTGCTGTTCCCTGTGCCACTGCTGCCGCCACCGCCTCCACTTCCCCCGCCCTCCGTGGTGCCCTGACTCTTGGAAGTGTTTGCCACTGCTGGGTGGGGCAGCGAGTTGGATCGTGAGAGGGAGCGAGGAAGTGGTAAGGGAAGGGTGGGTGGGTTGGATGTGCCTGTGTTGGTGATTGGTGGGTGATGGTGCCCTTCAACCCCTCCACTTCCTCCCCCACCCGAGATGCTGTTAGCAACCACACTTCCAGAGTTAGACAGTGACGGGCCGAATGTGTTAGTAAAGGCGCGAGACAGTGGTAGACGTGGGTACAACACGTCATCAGTCAGGTCCCACAGGCAGAACTGAGTGTCCTGCCCCACTGAGCCAAAGCGGTAGGTGACCGAGGCCGAGCCCCCGCCCTTAGAGCTGTGCCGAGAAAGACGCGACAACGTGCTGCTTGTTCGTACTCGGCCGAAGTGCATGGAATTGTTCTGTACCCCCTGGTGGAGGTCCTCCTCACTGCCACTTAGTTCCATGGGCTCATCATCTTCTAAAGAGGTTGTGAAGGGGTCAAAGGCCACGACATTGACCCACGATTTGTGGCCATGACCCCTTGCTACGACTCTGCTTTCTGCGAACGACCAGACGGTAACGAGGTCGTCCTCTCCTCCTGTGGCGAGATATTTCCCATCAGGACTCCATGACACACAGAGCAGCCCCCCAAAGTAGCTCTTCATCACACCCTGCAGCTCCATGGAGTCAAAGTGGAAGACACGCAGGCAGCCATCTTGACCGACACACGCCACGTGGACACCATCGGGAGAGAAAGCAAACTCGTTAAGGCCGCCCTCGCCCACGGCCCACCTCAACAGAGGGTTGCGTGGCGTCTTGGTCTTGCAGGCATAAACTGCAAACCCTTCGCCCTGTCGCAGCAGTGAGTACTGTGGAGCCGTGGTGCCACAGGGGTGGTCCACGTTGTAGAGGTAGAGGTGGCCACTGGCATGGGAGGCCAGGAATAGGTTCTCTGACTTAGGAAGCCACTTTAGACACGTCACCTTGGATTTGTCTATCAGCCTCTGGAAAGATGGAAAGCAGACAAGAAGGGAAAGAAAAGTAATAAAGTTATTTTTTTTTTATTATCAGCAGTTTAGAATGGCAACGACACAAGTGTGAGCGGTAGAGAGAGAAAAACCAAGGAGGGAGGTTTGACTGGAAACAGAGAATACACCGGCAGAAATGAGCACACACACCTTTTATCTCCTGGATTTAATTGAGAATCTAATTAAAGGAATCCTATAACGCAGGAAGGGGCAATTCAAGAGAGGCAGTAAAAGACTGCATGTTCACAGGGACAACACTTCAGACTGTGTTTTACATTCCATCACATTACACTGTCTCATCTACAACAGAAAATTCAAGAATGATAAACATAATTAAAAAAAATTATTTACTGAATACTGAATACAAATCTGAAAGAAAAGTGTGTGCATAAAAAATTGAGAATAGAAAATGTATAAGGGCAGGGTATTTTTTCTTAAATTTATATGTACTGTATCATTGTACTATTTTACCCATTTGACAGTACAAGTCAGGTATTTAGTTCAATATTTATAAAAAACTAAATTGAACTCAACATTGCCGGGAACCATTGGTAAGACCTCGTGCCAATGCAGAAATACCTCCTCGTTGAAGAGTTTACTGGTCTCCTTCTTGATCGGGTCGAGATACTGGAACTGCCCTGCTGAAACCCCCACGATGAGAGCGCCCCTCTCTGCCGTGGCTGAATACTGGTTGAAGTCATGACACGTGGGCTGAGTCCCTTTGTAGATCCTCTTGTCTATGGGCTTACTGAGGTCCACAGCCTGTGGACAGACATGGGAGACATGACAAGATGGGAGAATATATGACGTAAGAGTCCAGAGGACAATGAACCAGACGTGGTGTATCACACTTAACATGATGTAGATGTTTGGTGACCAACAAGGCTTTTAAAACATCTCGTTTGAATTCCTGGTCGGCTCTGACAGCACAGCAGACGTCTGACGATTTAGTGAGGTCATTGTTGGCGAAGTCATTGTGAATTTAACCAATCTCTAGAGAACATCGAGGGAGGAAGAACCGTCTCACTGTAGTCCATGATGGAAATTCACCAAACAGACCGCGGGGAGGTCACAAAGGTCACACTGTCTCATGTTTGTCACTTTGTTGAGAATTTCCTAATGTTATTTCCAAAATGCACAACGCTTATCCAATGCCCAAGAAGTTAATGTGGATTTATCCACTGGTTATAGTGAGTCAGATGACAAACGACCTCAGGGACTAAATGAGAGCAGTGTCGTAATTCATTTTGTAAAGAACTAAGTCATCGTCCTCTAATGGAAAAACATGAGGAGGCAGAGAAGGTCTGAGAGGAACAGAGGAAAAAGACAATGGCAGCAGGTTATAAAGTACGTGTGGACGTTTGTTTGGCACCGTGACACAGGAAGTTTGACGCACAGGGAATTATACTGTCCATATTTTCTTTATTTCACTCCCAAGCAGGGATAATACATATTATTAATCACTGTGATAACACGTTTAGGTTGTATCATACTACACAGATACTTGTGTTAGACCTTAAATCTCAGCTAAATGTTGGGATGAAAATAACGTTCTTATGTTAATATATTAAATGAGAGGCTGATTTAGCCTCTTCTTCAGTGGATTTGAAGTTTGCTCAAAATAACCTTCTTGTGTTAATATATTAAATGAGAGGCTGACCACTGATTTAGCCTCTTCTTCAGTGGATTTGAAGTTTGATCAATGTGTACTGCTCACACACACTCAGTAAATGGATGTTCATTTCAAGTACAGGCGGTATAAAGAGCAGATCAGACACATTTTTCCTGAAATATAAGTATTAAATATCCAACCTCAGTGACAGTTTTCCTGAAGTATTAAATATCCAACCTCAGTGACACCTGATGATGACACTGACCCACATCTTCACTGAGAAGCCAACGTTTACGAAGGACATTCCAATAGTTTGCAGTTTGTGTAACCGCAGATGGTAGTAAGGCTGTTGTATTTCAAAAATGTGACTTTCACAATATCTTACTGGAATGTAAGAGGTTCTACAGCATCACGTAGTCCGGACAGACATGTAAGAAAAAAGGCCCAGACCACACACACACACACACACACACACACACAGTCTAAAGAGGAGACCCAGGGTTGCATTTCACTGTTTGTTATTTCTATATAATGATCATGTGACAAATCAAACTCCTGTATCTTGAACCTCAATCTGACTCCTAACATGGTGATTGAACGGTGCGACAGATGATGCACAGATGAAAAAGACGCCTTGACATCTTCAGATGCCGACACTAACTCTGCTTCCACTTATTGATCCGTGTGATTTTCAAAAGGAGACGGGAATTCTACACTCGCCATCCTGTTTCTCCTTAATGGGTTACTGCAATTCCCCTCAAGGAATCAAGTGGGGCAACAACCTGGAAAAAGTTTCTGCTCTCAAAAAAGGATTCTTGCTGAAGGCAAGGTGTGTAGGGAGAAACAGAAGGACGGAGGAAGGTGGTGTGTGTGTGTGTGTGTGTGGTCCAGAAGAAAGAGCTGATGGTGGAGCACAGATTCATGTTGTTAGCAGCGAAACAACCAAAATTCATTCCTGATGAAATGCACTAGGAAGCCATTTCTTTTTTCTACATCACAGCAGAGTCTGAGTGACTGAGAGTTAAATGTGTCTCATCTTTGTAAACCATCTGCTGACTAATCTCTCTGGGTGGAAACTCACACACATCATGTTTCCTGTAGTCCAGGGGTAGACAGCATCTCTTCAGTGGGCCAGAGCCTTGACGTAAACAACAGGACAGACACTAAACTACGCAATAAAAATATCTAATTTTGCCTCCTTCAATTTTTTCCCCCAGGTTTGCAGTCAAAGTATAAAAATACAACAGAACTGCATATAAAAACACACTGGTCGGTGAAGAAAATCTTAGTAGACTGGTTTGTATATATATGTGTATATCTATATATACACATATATAGTGTATAGAAGTAAACCGTTGCCTTCTCAGTTGATTTATTATGTCAATATACGTTCTGTCATCGGAGGTTCAGGTCTATATTTTGTAAACTACGATTCCTTTTGAGGACAAAAAGACACTGACGTGTGGGGAGGACACCTACAGCTCCATGTTTGGTTGACAACTGAACCTGTATATTGTCGACGTCACAGACACAGTCTGTCACTGTCACCCGTGACAGACACAGCTCCGTCCGTTTCCTACGTACGGTCTAAGGCAGCAGCTGAAATGTTTGTTGTTCATATACAGGGTTTCACAGATGCTAAATGCAATCGTAACATTAATGGGTTTAAAGTTGGCGGTGTGCAGGCCTTCAGTCCCTGAGGGTGGGAGTAATGCATTTTTATTGATTTTGAGGCTGGTTGTCGGTTCACTAAGTCTAGTCCAGACGTGGAACTAGAACGCCGTGACTACACTAACAGTGTGACGGTGATGGTCAAGGAGTACTGTGGAAAAAGTCCAGAGAACATGTTGTGTTGTATTTCTCTTGGATGAAAGTGAATATCAAATAAACGTAGTGATGTTTAGTTTCATTACTATGTATTGATCAGCATCAGAGGGGGGTCTTCTTTGAGTAAACCGCCATATTGGATCACTATGTTTCTACTTCAGACCAGAACAGACACTAAATACTGAAGGTTTTATTGATTTTACTAAAGGCTACACTATATTTGTCTTCACTTTTGAACAATAAGACAAATGTCATGCATAATATTCAACGTTTATATCTTTAAGCTGCAGATGTAGTTTCTGTACTGAGTCATGTCTGCAGCTGGGTACTTGTTTTCTCTATCACTCTGGCATTGGAAAAGATTATATAGAACAACGGCCCTGGTCCCTAAAATACCTACAAAATGTCATCACAATGTCAAAGTGCTGTGAGGAGAACGAACACCTCTGTGTATCTGAGTGCAGTCACTGAGTGACTGGTGATGACGGGCTGTGAATGACATGTTTAAGTCTGTTTACTGAGCACAACCCTGGGACAGTGCCGCCCTCCTGCTCCTCCACTGACACCCTGCATCCTCCTGGATCATGTGCCTAAAAACATCAGCCTCTCCACAGTTCACTGCGTAACAATAAGATGTTAATGTAACGTGCGCACGTTTATGACACCAGGAGTGGAAGAGGCTGAGGTGAAGAGAATGACGAAAACACGAGCCCACAGCGTCGACATAGCGGTGCAGGCTAGCAGGGTCTGAGCACGGCAGTAGCAGGGCATTAGCACGGAGCTGGGAGAGCCGGGCTAAAGCCACTCATCCAGTCTGTCACCCCTAACCCTGAGGAAAGAAGACGAGACTCTCACCTTCTTGATGTTGGTGTATGTGTAGAAATACAGCTCCCTGCCGATGTTAAAGCACACTCTCTCCGAGTCCTCGCTCGGGTCTTCAGGCTGCAGCTTGACCATGGAGACCCGAACCGGTGGCAGGAAGCCCGCCGGAGAGGAGTTAGCGGCGGCATTGGAAGAAGAGGAGGCAGCCGGCGCACGCTGCCGCTGCTGCGGCGGCGGCTCCGGGCCCCTGCAGCAGACCGACACCTCCACCGGGTATCGGACCGGGTCCAGGCCCGGGGCCCAGCGTGGCTCCGGCGGGGGGGCCCCGCGGCCGGCCGCCCCCCCGCTCCGCGGCCGCGCGGG